CGTATAGGCTATTTGTTCTTAAAATAGCTTAATTTCTGTTTTAAATGTCTTAATTTTATATAAACCATTTAACTGTTGTATGGATTATATAAACATGTTTATGACTTAGTATAGTAAACACATGCATATTTAATAGTAGATTTTGCGTGTCAACAATATCTTTAAGGATATTCTCTTTCAAATTGTTGATCGAATAACCAACATTATCTTTCTACTTATCGTCATATCAAATATCACAGATTAATATTAAGAACTTCATTTATCTACACTAAATTTAGTATAGATGATAAATAAGATAACTACTTAATTAAGTCACGTGGGATGTTCAGTAAAGTATAATTATGCAACAGAATTAAACTGTTTTTGATTATGGAGATTTATATGATATCTTCTTGTTAATAAATAACGGGGATGACATAGATATGAAGAATGGTCTATTTCTTGGGAAAAGACCCAAATTTGGTCTATGTGTTGTGGATACTTGATCTATTACTTCCTGAGTTGATAATGTGTCTTCTATACTACTTGTACCTGCAAGCTTAATTAATAAAAATAATTTAATTAAAATTGTATTATAAATTATATAAATATATTAAACAAGCATTTTGAACATATTAAAGATGTCAATATGCCTGAAACACTTAAAATAATTATGATAATATTTAAAATGTAAATTCGGTTATGGTTCAGTATAATTTCTTTGAATTTATCGTGTAAGTCGGTGTGAATGAATTTGATTTTTAAAAATTATATATATAAATACTGTATATACTATAAAAAATATTTTAACTAATTTTTTACAGGCCTATTCTTTGGCCAAACAGGTGTATAAATAATTACAACTTTATACGAACAAAGTTGCTTAAAATTAAATTTTTCATAACTATTTCTTATATAAAATTTGTTTGTATGCAATTACTATTACGTTTAAATTAAACTTTTATATTCTGTAATATTAAAAATATTAATTTATCTCCTTTCTCATAGAACCAAACTAATTAAAATTAATTTTGAATTTTAAACGGACAGATTTACAACTTTTGAAAAGATAATTGTTACAATATAAATAGTAATAATTAATCTACAGCCAATCTTACTATGTAAGTCCCACTATTATATTGGTAACTCTTTTTTAAGTTTTATATTTGAATAATAAGCAATAAGTGAATAAAATTCATTTTTAAAAATTAACTTCATCAAAATATAAAAGTACAGAAGAAAATTAATAATAGTTTATTTAAACTTTTCAAATACACAACACTTGACACAAACTAAATGACGACATCATATAGCAATAAAAATTAATTTTTCCTTATCCTAAATCAAGATTTTGCTACTCATTATTAATTTTTGACCTGTTTTTTTTTTTTAAACACTAGAAACAGAATTTCAAAAATACAATTAAAAAGTGTGTGGAACATATATTAATTAATTTAATTAACGTATTTATTAATTACCTTTATAGTTTCGGCACCATTGTTTTCAACAGCAGAACTCAACAATTCTATTAGTGACGATGACGACGACGATAGAGGATCTAAACAATAAGAACGCAAAGTACTAACTGGGCAAGCCTCATGGCAGCATTCATCTACCACTCCTCTCCTCATTCCTATAAAAGAACGTCTGGAAAGAGATCTGTNTTTACAACTTTTGAAAAGATAATTGTTACAATATAAATAGTAATAATTAATCTACAGCCAATCTTACTATGTAAGTCCCACTATTATATTGGTAACTCTTTTTTAAGTTTTATATTTGAATAATAAGCAATAAGTGAATAAAATTCATTTTTAAAAATTAACTTCATCAAAATATAAAAGTACAGAAGAAAATTAATAATAGTTTATTTAAACTTTTCAAATACACAACACTTGACACAAACTAAATGACGACATCATATAGCAATAAAAATTAATTTTTCCTTATCCTAAATCAAGATTTTGCTACTCATTATTAATTTTTGACCTGTTTTTTTTTTTTAAACACTAGAAACAGAATTTCAAAAATACAATTAAAAAGTGTGTGGAACATATATTAATTAATTTAATTAACGTATTTATTAATTACCTTTATAGTTTCGGCACCATTGTTTTCAACAGCAGAACTCAACAATTCTATTAGTGACGATGACGACGACGATAGAGGATCTAAACAATAAGAACGCAAAGTACTAACTGGGCAAGCCTCATGGCAGCATTCATCTACCACTCCTCTCCTCATTCCTATAAAAGAACGTCTGGAAAGAGATCTGTATAAAGATCTTGTAGTGCCTGAAACACGTAATAAAATTTTAAAAATATATTTAAAACATTAAATATTAATTTATAATATTTTTTGCGCTCTTTACTCTGTTGATTTGTATCTGGACCATGAAACCTTCCACCACAAATCAAGTTTAGAAGTTCAGTTAGATGATCCCCGCAAGCTCGATATTTAGCTTCTTTCTCTCCATTCGAACTGTATTGGCTCAAGACCAATAACAGAAACAAGCAAAAGGCTGGATAATGTGATGGCATCACGAAAGATCAACTTCCTGAATAGAAAGATATCAAAACGTTATTAAAATAATTATTTATATCTTAATATATTAATCGTATTGCCAGTATACTATCTTATACTTCACGTAGTCAGAGTCTCATTTGTTATTCTTACATTAAATTGATAAATTTAACAACTAAAGTTTATTTTATACGTTTAAAAATTGTTGCATTATTTAATATACAAGTTTCGATATAATTCAATACGTTGGAAATGTCATTCGATCATTTTGTTTTTGAAAATCTTTAAATAAAATAAAACAAATCTAATTTTTTGTCTAGAATTGCGTATTATTCGGTTACGTAACTTTTTTTGTTTATTTAAATCAGTTTAACTTAAAGCTTTTCAGCAGGAAATCGTTTTTTGTTTACTTTCAATAGTTAAATTTTTCTTATTCTTATTCAATATTCTTTTTTATATTTTCAAAAATATGACGTTTTAGTCTTAGAATTTATTTATTTATAAGTGAAAATCCTTATTCTAATTTTATAACATATCAAATAAATTTTTGTTGTGATATATAGCCTTGAATTAGTTTTTATCCTTTGTTACTCTTGAATTCTGATAAAAATTATTTTTAATTAGCGAGAGTTATAAGTAAATATGATTAATTTTTATATTTTTAATATTAATAATTACAAATAATTTGCATTAGAAATATATCATTATCATCAGCTTCCGTTTAACAATCTTCCAGAAGTACAGTGTTCTTTGCTGTGTTACCACGTAGCAAAGAAAATGAACGAATTGTACCCGATTAATCTCAACAATATACATTTTCCTATTTAGAAATCTTCTCTACACCTAATGTATTTCATAATAATTAATTATTTTTAAAATTCCACAAAATTGGTAACCTTTAAGCAATGTAAAATAAGCTTTTAACGTATAGAACGATCAATACATTAAAAGTTTAAATTGATAAATAAAACTCTAAAATAACATTTTATAGGATCCGTTTTATATGACACAGTAAAACCAGTTCTTATGACGCATACAAACTGTTTTTCTAAATATGTAAATTTTTATTATGACGCAAGAAAAACTTTTTATGACGTAAGACTTTATTATTGTATATAAAAAAAATTATTATGACTTATGTAAAATTTTGTATGATAAAGTAAATTTTTCTTGACGAATTATACATTTTAAATCAATTATTTTCGCAAATATTAATTTATTTTACTTTAAAAAATTATAAATTTTGCTTTTATGTCAAAAATATCAATCTACTTAAAATTATTTTATAATTTAATATTATAAAATAATTTTAAAGTTTGAAACTTCTAAACTCATTTGCGTATAGGCTATTTGTTCTTAAAATAGCTTAATTTCTGTTTTAAATGTCTTAATTTTATATAAACCATTTAACTGTTGTATGGATTATATAAACATGTTTATGACTTAGTATAGTAAACACATGCATATTTAATAGTAGATTTTGCGTGTCAACAATATCTTTAAGGATATTCTCTTTCAAATTGTTGATCGAATAACCAACATTATCTTTCTACTTATCGTCATATCAAATATCACAGATTAATATTAAGAACTTCATTTATCTACACTAAATTTAGTATAGATGATAAATAAGATAACTACTTATACACACGTATATTGATTAATAATTATAATTGTTTTTAAATTATTTAAATAAAAAATGAATTTATTGTAAGCAAAACTTTTTATTTTTATCTTTTTATATATAATTTCAATGAAAAATAGAGAATTATTTTTGTAAAATATATTCAATTTCTCTTTATTAAAAAGAAGAAAAATTTATATAAATTAGTTTTATAACTTTAAAACGTTTACAATAAAAAAATAATAATTTAGATTTTTGCTATTTTAAGAGTTAGAAGTCTAAAAAATAATGTAAATGTATAATTTTATATAAATATTTATCTTATTTTTAAAAGTTACCTAAATGTTTTTATTGTTTTCTTAATTATGGTTTAAATTATTTATTTCCTTCTTTCTATTACATTTATATTTTTATTTATAAAGTTTTATTTACCTATTGAAATTTATTATTTTTTTAACTTGATTCGTTTTCATAGGAGAAAGGTTATAATTTTTTAAAGGATTTTATATTTTTTAAATTTATAAAGGTTTTAAAATTTACTCTATTTTATGTGATAACTTAAATATCTTTCTATTAATTTAATAATGAATGTTCAAAATTAAATTCTTCATTTTTAAAATGTACACTTAAAAGAAAAAAGTTATAAATAAATTAAATTATAAGATGTAGTTTGTATGATTTTTTTTATAATAAATATAATATTATTTTAAAAAATTATAATCAATAAATGCCTTAATTATCGTAAAATCATTAAGGTGTGATGCATTTAATTAAAATGAAATCATGTTTGTACTTAATATGAATTATAAATTAGTTCAAATTCTTGTAAATTAAATTATATTATGATAGATTTTTAACTAATGAGAACTTAGTCTATTATAATTACTATATTTAGTTAGTATATGGCAGAAAATGATTAATGATCGTCATGTAATCAGATAGTGACACGGAACTGTTTAATTCATAAGTTTTAGTATCAGATATTGCTGAAAGCTTTCTTTATGCTGTAAGTGAAAACCGTGACAAAATAAATTTGATTGATTTAGAGATCATGAATGAAGCTTACATGATAATTAAGATAATCTTTAAGGCTATTCATACTTAGATAAAGCATGGATAAAGCCTTATCTTTTGAGTACAGTTATAAACTTGATTTGGCATTAGTCAGAATGGGCATGACATCAGAAAATGGTGCATGTGGAGCAAATAAATGTAGTCAAATGGGAGGAAATGACAAGGGACAGACTTGGATCACAGGCCCGTTGTCATGGTTACATCGGGGGTTTAGAGTTAGCTCATCTATCATATTATGTCAGTGAGTCATTCTGTGCACCCTCTTCGATCTACGTACAACGTGTTGAGGATGATTTCTTTGACTCAAGAATATAATATGTTTTATTTTATGATCTTTAAGCCATTTCTTTGTTGAATACAGAATGATAACAGATAAATTTCAATATTTTAAAACATAAATATATGCGGATTTTTGTAATTAAATTGTTAAATCATAATTATTTTTAAAAAAATAACTTATTATTTCTTAATAAGGGATAATTAGGAAAACTGTCTTTTAACGAATTTGTTCTTAACACATGGTTAATGCAAACGAATAATTTCAAATTTACATTTACTATAAAAATTTCAGAAAAATGTAAGTAATGTACCTGTTGACATGTTCAAGTTTAGAGTTTATACTTTCACAGATCAAACTTTGTGTTTAGTATCGAAGAAAAATGGTAATTCATAATTAATGCAAAAAGTCAAGTTTTTGATATTTCTCTATAAAATAGCTAAATTCAAATATATATACAATGTATTTTTATTTCTAAAAATTACTTTACATTAATTAATCTTATTTAAAATAGAAAAATGTGATTTACCTGTTTCTCCGGTAAATGTTTATTTCTTCACTTCAGATTCCAGGTTATATGTGCTATCTTTCACTTATCCCAACTTATATATCCCCTTCTGTCGTGTGGGTGGACACGTTGATGCAGTTCCAGCCAATGACAGTTCTCTTTCGCCTCAATAGAGTAAAAGCTTGTTCGAATTCTGTAACATATCTCAATAAAATTTCATGAATTCATGCATTTCTTTAATTTTCAGAGTTTTTGGTTTAATAAACAACATTTTTTTTTCTTTTTTTTAAATAAAGTCGAAAATACTATTCCAAATTTAAATTTTATCATTTTTACAGGTAATCTCTATTAGCATTTAAAATAATTAATTTTATTTTATTAGACATATTTTTAATAAAATAAGTTATAAACTTTTTCAAAATTCCAAAAGAAATTTAATTACTGTTTTAGAATTAAACGAAACTTAAATAAAATGGTATCAACGAACTAGCTCCTGTAAATATATCTTACCTGTACAAATGTTCGTTATGCAGAGAAGCCGAACTTAAATGCGTCATTAAAATGTTTCGTAATTTAAAGCTGTAACTTTTAAATAAATTCTTCAATATTTGTTTGTATATCTGCTGTAGAAATAAAATTCTTTATTGTAAATGGAAATAAAACTTTAAATTTATATCAAGATTTTTTTATGATATTTATTTACGAATCGCTCCTTTGGATTTCTAACAGTTATTGACCATTTCCTGATTGAAAGACTAAAGGGAAATTCTAAATAAACCTGTGTTGACTTAAAGTTGTATAGTGGTATCGTTTCTAACTTAAAATTCTTGTTGAAAAGTAAGGGATACGAAAATAATCTGATTGTATAACAACTTAATGTTTGTATGTAGGTTAAGGTGTTTACGAAGATTACAAGATTTTTTTAATTGAACTTAGAAGTGTACTGTATTATTTAAAATTACAATTATCGATAATTAGGCTATAA